ACTCAAAGAGGCCGAAGAGTAACAAAAACAGGCCAAAGAGCGACAGAAACAGGAACAAGAGAGGAGGAAGCAGACTAAAGAACGACAGAAGCAGGCCGAAGATAAAGGCAGACAGGAGAAAGAGAGACAAGAACAACTTCAAGAGCTCAGCCGACCGACCACTTTCGCGGAATTCTTACACTATTCGTATGACCTACTCTCCCAACCACTAAGAGTCGAGATACTATCTCACTCGACTACCGGCAAAATACCCCTTCCCACTGGGAAATATTACCCAACACAATTAGAACACTAGACCGACTGCTCAGCACTACAGTCAGAGCTTTTCAATTCTATCTACAGCTATCTCCAGTTAATACCAGGAGGCTCTCCACATTTGTTTTCATCCTTATATAAGCTAGAAGGATTAGGCCGACAACTTAGTCGTAAGCCTATAAGCAGTAAGCAGGAACTTAAGGCCTATAAGCGGTTCGCCGTAGAAGAGCATATTAATAATATAATAACAGAGTTATACAAGATACCCGCTATTTACAATAAGCTCGGCCTCAGAGATAGCATCCAATTCAGTAATCATACGAATTCCTTGAATAATAACGTTACTATTAAAGTAGATACAACTTAACTGTCAAGTATATACCACCTAAGACCTAACTAATTCTATATCTATTATATCGACCGCAATACTACTACTCTCCTTATATTAGTTAAGTATAAGCTGCCTTATAAGCTTTCTATCGCTACCCTTTATATAGGGCTCCGACTAATAGACTTATAGAAGGATATAGTTAGATTAAACAAAATACCGATTAACTAGGAAGCGAAGCTAAGGTACAATACAGAGCGACTTATCTGCTCCGCTCTTATCTAGGAGTATTATATAATAATCTAGGAAGGGCTCGAGTACTCCTATATAACTAATAGGATTATCTAGATCCTCCTCTGTATTCGATAAAACAATCCTAGCATACTATACTACTTTCTATATAATCCTAATAGTGAAGTAAATATAGAAATAGAAGCTACCTTTACAAATACTTCTATTATAAGAATACTATATTTATATCTAATGGCATTCCACTCGCCAGTACGAGGTCAGGAGTAGAGGAATTCCGTACAACTAGATATTCTAATATAGAAGACTAGTTTCGATCACACTCACTCTTATATTCCCGAAGACGAATTCTAGCAACTTCCTCTTAACTCTAACAGTACTACCCTAGAATTTCTAAGCCTAGATTCTAGTTTAACTTATGAACCATCGTTATCTCCGCTAGATTTCCCTAAATTAATAGCTTATCAAGTGTCTACAAGATCTCGAGTTAGCTATACCCTATCCGATATAAGGTATCGCTTACAGTCGTTACAATCGCCAGACCCCGATTTAAAACCAGTAATACACTATAAACGAACCTTCAGCTAAGTTCTATCTTCCCTATCTACCTAATATATAGCTTAATAAAGAGATATAAATAATAATAAAGGACTAGACAGCTAGTCCCACTACCGCGATACGCAATTTTGTACCTAGCGATACTTACTCAGGTTACAGTCTGGCGGTCTTCTAGATAACTATTACCTAAATGTGATACTCTATCGTCGAAGTAATAACAATCCACAGCATCTAATTACATCTAAGGATTTAGTATATTTACTAAAAGCACAATTGGACGAAAACATTGACCGATATATACCCCTTAGAGGTTACGGGGTATACGGTACGCCGTTTAAACTTACTTATCTCGTATATAGGTATACCGTTATCGGAAAAGGAACCACGTCGGCGCTATAGAAAGAAGTCTCTTACGAAGCGGAGGTATACCGAATTCTATAGAAGGCGTAAGGGTCCGCTGTACCTATTTTCCTAGGTATAATCGACTTGGCGAAAATTTATTTCCTTTATAGGGCTAGAGAGATTCGTCATATACTCGTGATAGCCTAGGGGGGGGAAAGTACGGCATCGATAGAGCTAACGCCACAGCTTCTGCAGGGGATCTACCAATCGAACAAGAACATCAGAGCATTAGGAATCATCTACGAAGACCTTCGGTATAACAATGTCTTATGGAATGAAGAACTTAGGCGAGCGTTAATCATTGACTTTCACCGCTCCACATTAAAATGTTAACCGACTTTACAGCAGCCGCGAGTCTCAAAACGACGACTACCTCAACCAGAGATTATTGACTCGAAACGTCTTTATGTGACGTGAGGATAGGTGCTCATTTTATTGGAGTAGCATGAAGCATTTTCGGCCCATATCTATGTGGACAGTTCTTTGAGGGCTGTATTGGATCTACCTCAGCTTATGGACCGGGGATATCAGGATCCCAGTCTCTTAGCTGAATTCTCTCTTCAAGAAGGGTTGATCTTAGTGGAGAATCTGCCTGAATGTTGACGGCTGTAGATCCTGAAGCCGAAGAACACAGGCCTGGCGTCGGCGAATAAGCAGAGTTTAGTGTATTCGGTTCATCGTTCTCTGGTTCTCTCGCTGTCCGTATTTAGAAAGCCTGTGTACGTTGCATCGCCTAATCTGCAGAGGAGTCTTCTGTCAGCATTTAGCAGCTAGAAAAGGCAGTATACTTACTTAAGTCTAATTTAGATGCAAGGTTTTATATCGAATTTTTAACTTTCTCCTACAAATAGTCAAATATCTTACTAGCTAGAGTATCGATCTTCTACTTTCCTTTAACGCGTAATATACCACGATCCCAAAGGTACTTAATCGCCTCAGATTGGGGTTTCTATCTAATGGTATGACTCTAAAAAAAGTTTTAAAAGATTAAAATTCTTAAGGCTTCGTCACGGACCCCTACACCTGAAGTATACCAAGGCAGGAAACTCACAATTCATCATCAGTATCTTCAGGCAAGTAAAACAAAACGCCGAGGTATATATCTTCCAGGGATTCGGTATCGTCGACATCTTTGTATAAAGTATCGAGTCTCTTCCCTTCTGTGACCTATTTAGAGAATTTTTCCTTAACCTCTTTTAGGTCACTGTAAACGATGCCAGTTTTAGAAATTATTTCAGCTAATATTTCTAGCCCATTAGCACGGACGTAGTTAAGACATAACCTATCCTTAAGCCGGTAGTATAACACTTTGATCAAGCGAGAGTATACGATATCTTTCTCCGTTCTCTGCTCCAGGTTCTTAACATAGATGTAGAGTTGGGCCACAGGTGATCTACTTAAATCGAGGTCAATACTGCTTTCTGTAAAGAATGATAACGGGTTATCCTACCATCGATCTACACTAGCCAGAAAATCAGGAGGGGCATTTATTTTTAAAGTATTGATAAATTCGTTCGATTTTCTTGAGATCTTAAAGCTTTCTTGAGATCTTGAAGCTTTTCTGAGAATAACGACTGATTTTTCTTCTAGATTTTTTTAGAATAGAAGCCCAAAGTTGTCTAACCAAGTTCATAACCTAGTCTTATATTAATTTATGTTACCTCGTTATATCCTTATAGAAGATATACCTCAGGGTCTAAGAGCATGTCACTGATGTCATCCTTTCCACTAGACTCACAATCCCAATAAGCCTTTTCGAGTTTCTAGCTAAAATACTTACTCTGTGAAAGACCCTATAGTAGCAAGTTGGGGAACTATACAAAACTGTTTTGCTGGTTTATGGTTAGAAGAAACCAGGGGTAGTTGCGTCGAATCTTTCCTCCCAGAGGTCACATGCTGTCTAACCCTTATTTCTTGAGCGGATTAGTCGATCTACAAATACGGCTGTAAGCACTGCCTATATACCACACAGCCAATCGCTTTTAGGCCAGGGTAGCGGCACTAGCCTAATGCCATCCAGGTAAAGGTTAACCACGATAAAGGCGATAAAAGTGCATTCAAGTTAGAATAATGTGGTTCTAATCTATTATAAACACACTTTAGTGGATTTAGTGGGGTTGCGTATAAATGCGCAACCCCCATTAGGCAATTTTCATAGCCCACATAAGGGTTAGTATCGATATCTATTAGAAAACCAAGAGAACCACTCCTACAAGTATTCTGCTAAGCAGTATAGGGGTCAAATATATGCCGATACAGCTAAACGTGGCGTCCAAACTTGTACGTTATTGATTGGCCTTCCGCTTTCAAAGTTAGCCTTCCTAGCGTTTCTTTTATAGCTGGCCACTAACTTGTGATATGACAGGTCTGCATAAAGAGGTTTAGCTAGGAAGATTCTCTCATATTTATAAACACTAGTCCCTCAGCCGCTGTGGTGGATCTTTCCTCCCAACCTCTCTTCTTAGTTATATCTAAATTACACTGAGCTCTGATTGGCCTGTGATATAAGTCCCGCCGAGTGCGTTTAGCTCGATTTCGAGATAGCTTTTTGAGCAGATTAACCAAATCGATTGGTATTGCCAACTTGCCTACTGCCTAGGTGTGTGATACTTCCAGTTCTAGTTATATGCAGATGCCAAGATATCGAGTGTTTCAAGGGAAACAACACGATCCAATGATATTCTGCCGTTAGTTCAGCTGAAGGGGTCAATGCGGTGGTCGCGCGACCTGGGTGATTCTCACCCTGATTCTTACCCCGTTTATAGTGCACTCACCCTTATCACCCCCGGTCGCGCGACCGTAAAGCGGCGCTCACCCATTTCTCACCCGGGCGACACCCACCCGACTATCTGCCGCACATAAGCCACACGCCGGTGAGTTAGTAGTTGGGTGGGTGACCACCAGCGAATCCTCACTGTTGTATGTTTTTGTTTTTGTTTACTCAGTATAGCAATAGTATAGACCTACATAGAAATGAAACATGTGTATACTTGATCCGCTTTCTTTTGCCTCACCAGACAGAGCAAGACCTACGGAGTATAACTAGATTGAGCCCGCCAGCAAGCAGATTAGTCAGCCCCAGCATCAGCTCGGCCAAATCCTGAAATTGCCGAACCCTCGGGAAAGAATTTCAATGCTCCGACCGCATCCGGACGAATTCCTTTTTTGCTCAAATTGAACAGCCCTAGAAAAAAAGGGAAATTATCAGATGGTACGAAAAAGGCGTGCTCTTACGGAAGAGGAAGAGCAACAAGGTCGGGAGTCCCAAAGAAGGAAATTTGTTGCGTGCGTTTTCCAGATAGCTCACACCGGAGCACCGAGCACTAACACACAGCATTCACAGCTGTCAAAGATGCCACTCGCATAAAATCAAATGTTCCGGAGACCAGCCGTGTAGCAAATGCCGCACGGTAGGCGTCGCTGATGAATGTGCCTATGCTACTCGGGATCGCCAGGTGAAAGTTAGTGAAAAGTATGCAAGCAAGCCACCGACTATTATTAGCCAAAGCCCTGAAAAGCTTGTCTATTCCAAGTCTCAGACCAGAAGCTAAAACTGTCCTCTTCAATCAGCTATTTGGATCAGATCCTCGCAGAGAATCAGCGGCTTAAGGAACGGTCGATCACCTCGGCTCAAGTCGCCGAGACCAACGACCCCTCGCAAAGGTAGACATCTCTTTGACTTTCCAAAAGATAACCCACAATATACAGAATACTGAGGTTTACAACAGAGGCCCTGCCAAGACAGCAGATGTCCCTGATGGAACAGGCATTCAGAATCCATTGATTGGAGATCGAGCCTGGTTTCACCGGTATGATCCCTCTTCGCCGCCCATCTACATCGGCGAGGCAGCATGTTCAGCATTCGCGACACGGTTTCGGCGTTTCTTGTCGGGGAATAGTGGAATGCCACATATTCCGCGAACACAGTATGAGCGCGAAGAGACAATCGCCGCAGCGAACGAAGCCGATATCCAGTGGCCGAGTCTTCACCATGCCCGGTTGTTAGTCCGGATAGCAATCCACCAGATCGGACATCTGTACCACCTCATGATGCGCAAGTCGACTTTAGATAAACTGGAAGAAATCTACCAGACACAAGACTTTGACTGCGCGGCTAACAAGTGTAAATTCTTCGCCTTGTTCGCCTTTGGCCAGGCGTATTCAATCAGATCTGAGCCCAATTCTGGCTCCAGGGTACCAGGCACATCGTATTTTGCTCGGTCAATGGGATTGGTCCAGATCCTGCCAGAGAGAACCAGTGTTACACACCTGGAAACCCTGCTACTGTTGGTATGTGGCTCAGCATGTGCTATTGTTCGCATCAAAATACTTACCATATCCCAAGTCTCTTTTCTCATACTATCTCAACCGGCGTCATTCAGCATACATCCTGATTGGAAACGCCATGCGGATGGGTTTGACCATCGGCTTGAATCATAATATCCCGGAATCACAGCTCATCGACCCAGTGGAGCGCCAACACCGCATCCAAATATGGTGGACGATCTACATCTTCGACCGGATGTGGGGGTCCAAAATGGGTCTCCCAATGCAAATCCTCGATGAAGATATCCACGTCGACATGCCGTCAACCATCTCTCCCCGCTGGCGCCACGAGGAAGAACTCTCCGACTCAGAATACATGACCGCCAACATCAAGCTGGCACGCATAGTGGGCGAGACAATCACCCGACTATATAGCCGGCGAAAGTACCAAGAAACCTTCCTCCAACGCGTTCAGAAACTCCTCAAAGCCCTGAAACACTGGGTAGAAACACTCCCCGAATCCCTCAGACTCAACATGGAAGACCTAGAATCGAGCAAGAAACCCATCGTCTCACTCCACATGGCCTTCAACCAATGCGTGATCCTAACGACGCGCCCAACGCTACTTCACCTCTTAATGACACTAAGCAAAAAGAGGAAACCTCACCCCAATACCGGCAATCGTACCAGTGGAGCCGAGACCGAAAGCGATAGCGAAGACGTATCCGTTTCCCAACCAGTCCTTACCCTAAGCGAAGCATGTATTCATGCAGCGCGACACTCCCACTCCATGATCCTGACAAGGTGGATCAACGGGTCCATGCCAACCTTCGGCTATTTCCACGCGCACTACCTCTTCTCCTCGGCATTGATCTTGGCAATGTCCAGCTTTGTACCAATCGGCAGTCCGACTGATATGACCGCGTTCGACTCCGCGCTGGATCTGCTACGCTCTATGGCCGAGAATGGGAATTTGGCGGCGGCAGAATTCTATCGGAATCTCGAGCAGGTGAAGGTTTGTTTAGGTGAGTATCAGGGAGGAAGGCGAGATGACGGGAATGCTGATATGGCTGCTGGTGGAGGTGTCGCTCCTAATACCAACGCTAATGCTAGTGGTAATGCTGCTCCCTCTGGCAATGGTGCAGTACCTTTGTCTGGGCCTTCGTCGGATTTAGCAACAGCTACTACTCCTTTTTTGAACGCCTTGCCACTGAACCCGTCCACATCGGCAACTATACCTCCGGCATCTTTGATGCCCACAACGCACAGTATCCTTGCTTCTGCCCCAACCACACAACCTGTCCATAACCATGGATTCGATGCATATTCCTATCCCTTGAGGGATGCCGTCAGTGGGTACACGACCGAAATGGCGTTTCTAGAGCCGACCATGCAAGATTTTCTGGCCCAGTCAGATATTGACCTTGGGCTGCTGCATCCTGTTGATACGTTCTTTAACGAGGCTGAGAATCTGTATACATGCCACGAGTTTTGATTGGGTATATCTGGGGCATATGAGATAATAATATGCACGTTTTAGACCTAGTCGTTCTGGTCTGTGTTGACTTGACAAGTGGCTCAACACTGTATGGTCGAAGCTGGTATTCAGGTCAAGATACTATCGTGTGTACGCAGAGAGATATCCTTGCAGGCAAAAACAGTTACGGTCTCTTTCCCTCACCATCAAGCCGGTGTATGAATCAAAAATCCCATAACTACATACATGAGATACAGAGGAATATGCGCGTCTAGATTTCGGCATCAACAGCAAGCCCAAAGTTCGAGCCATGTCGTGAAAGAAGGTCCATGCAGACAAGCCAGGCTCTCCGGGAAGAAAGATCTTTGGTCGACATTGCTTTCAACCAGTGAGTCGCTTTGTTGATCTTTTTAGTGATATCAACAGCCTTGGCGGTGCCTATATGAGTGCGAGTGAACAGCTCGGTGAGCAGGATGGTAGTCGACTGCATGATGTTGTGCAGGATGCACCACCACGGAGCGACGCCATACAGCCAAATCAAGTCCGGATTTTCAGGCAGCAGTTCGAGCATTTGGCCTGCCATATGAACGCACAAGGCTGCCATCTGATCACACACCGTTCCCTGGCCCGCTTCAGATGACTGTCGGGATAGACGGCGGATACAGGGCTGCAAGATTATCAGCTTGGTCGAGTAGAATTGGAAAGCAAGACTAGCACGCTGCTGTAGAAATTGAGGGGTTGGGTCTAGCGTTGTGAAATCAAACTCCACCGGAAGACGAGACAACCAGTTGTCAGTATGATTGTTTAGCGTGGAGATGGCGGCTTCGATCTCGTGCCATGACTGTCGAACTGCTCTGGGAGCATAGAGCATATCAATAGCTTCTCGTAAGAGATGAGCCAAGTCCACTGTGTACAAAAGGTACAGAGAGGAATTTGGTGTTAGATTCTCTACCCCCGTCTGTCTGGCCCTTTCTTCTTGTTTTCCCTTGCCCGACTCTCGCCGTTCCGGGGTTCTTGGAGCCATATACTCTTTTGGCGAAGTTGCCGTGGTATCGGAAATTAAAGAGGGGGGAAATGTACTTCGAGTCCTTTGGTCGGTATTAAGTTGCGCGACACGCCTGTCCCAAAAATTCTCCTCTGCGAAGGGGACAGGGAGGGGTGTGGAGCAAAAGATTTCTCCCGTACCAGGTGGACGGCCTGTCATCTCACATAGCACCATGTCCAACATAAACAGTGCCCACCAAACTCGATATCGAAGTTCCTTCGAAAACTGGGTGATGCTATCGCTCTCGCTTCGAATGTTTAGACCCATAGTCACCGCCGATCGACTCGCCATTCCGATGAGTTTCCATGACCTAGATGAGCAAGACCAATCAGATATAAATCATGCAATAAATCAAGAAGGAAAAGGGGCAAGACCGACCTATTAATTTGACCAACCGATAGGAGGTAGAAAGCAGCCAAGCCATCCACCTGTGCCTGTTGCAAGTCCGGATGATCTAGCAATACTTTACCTACATTCAACCTCCAAGCCCGTGCAAAATAAGTCTGATGGCCGTCGCAAGTTGGTTGGATTTGATCGACGAAGAAGCAATGTCTGGCCGCAATGGCAAACACCAAGTTTAGCACTATAATCCATCGTCTCCCAGGTCGCACGTTCGGATTCGCATAGAAGGATCGATATTGATTCAGAAAGACGGCCTTTCCAATGATGGGGAAGGTAGGATGTACGGCGTGAAAGTAGGTGTCAATGAGCCTGTTAGCGATTGGTTGCGGAGGCCGGTGTGCGAGGTCGATATCGTCAGGAACTAGAATTTCCGAGTCATCTTGGAAGTAGTTCACGGAAGATAACGAAGGGCGTGCGGGGGTATCTTTGACTGCAATCAAGCTGCCATGATCAAGAAAGCGCTTGAGTCTATACAACCATGCCATCTCTGAATGTTCACCCACAAATCCCGTCGGTTGTACTTTCTCATCCCGATCGAAGTCCTCTTCGGTGTAGTCTACAGCCCCCGAGGAAATAGACACATGACTAGCATCAGCACGGGAGTGAAGCCCTGATTGATTGATGGGCCTTGTTGGGTTGGTGAATAAGGTAGGGATAGGGGTAGTGAGCGTGGTCCGTGAATTTAGCTCCCTCAGTGTTTTCTCGACCCGCTGGGCCGACAAGACATCGAGCTTGGGATAAAGTTCGCGGAGCAAAGCATCGAAGGTTTGAACCCGTGTAGTTAGATCGTTCAGCTGCCTATCACATGTCAGATGAAAGTATTAGAACAGACGAAAAAGGTTAACGACTTCACCATCTTCTCTCTTTTCCGGTCGCCATACGAACACGGGACACCGGCATCCAGGCAACGATGACAGGCTGGGCGATGACCACTACATTTGGCCTTTTGCTCGCGGCAATTTTCACAAGCCCGGCTGACTCGACCACTGCTAGTCCAACTACTGGATTGTGCGTTCCGGGGGATAGCCACCTTAGCATTCACGCGGTCGCTTGTGTTGAATGAAGGATAATCGCGGGCATCACGGATAGTTTCGGTATTGAGCTCCAGGGGGGAAGGTTGCGGGCATTCAGGCGCCCAGTCAAAATTGAATCCATTTCCCAGGTTCGGATATTCAGAAAACGGAGCACCAAAGTTCTCACCCATATCGTTACTAGATATAGTTTTCGAAAGGATTTGATCATAGGAAAGGGTTTTCGCACGAGACGCAAGACGCTAGCGGGACATCGACTCATAAGCCACACTGGACGAACCGCCGGGGAAGAAGAATCATCCCCCTTGCACACGAAGGAAAAAATTAAAAATAGAAACACACAAAAGCAAAGTCGACGAGTCCCCTACTGTGGACTAGTCACAAGTGGGTTTCAACCGAGATCGGGTCCTCTGGTATGCTGGAGGTCTTTGCCGCCACTAAGAGCAGCGCTAAGGCCAATAAGTGCTTTGCATTGCACTTTGGATGGTATTTTTTTGAATAGACGAGAATGAACATCATAGAAGCTTCCAGACTGTGAATATAGATGTGTTGTATCGCATAGACAATGGCGCGGGTGGTCTGTACGAGCCTTGCTCGAGGTTTTCCTTCGGTTTGTAGCATCCATGATTCCCATACATATAACATAAAGTTATATGGAACCCGCTCTCTGACAGGCTGAGAAGTGATGTTCTCTCTGTACTAGGGTTCAGACCCAAATCTTATCGCCCTCTTTCGGTCCGAGAATCACCGGTATCCCAAATTCCGATGATAGTTTGGCAAACCATCATTGTGTCAGGACCCAGCATCATGAATACATTTCATTTGGTTTGCTTATCAGAATCAGATACTGCACGGTAAGATTGCTGCTTCAGTTTCCTCTCCCTTCAAGGGTCTTGGCAAAATTTGCACGGGGATCTTTGTTGTGCTTTCAGACCCGGAAATACGGAATCGTATGACAGAGTCCTTTCTAGGTCAACATCCAATGCGTTTCTTTCAACCACATCGTCTTGTTTCTCTTCGGACTTGCCTCAGTTTGGGTGGGTCGATATTCGTTCGTCATCAAATCGAAGACCCACTGACGTTCGCATGCTCATGCTTACCGAAAGGCAAGCAGACAACAAACCATCACGATCCCGTTGATAGAAGTGACTATCATTTGATTTCCTGGTCTTGTAATGACTCGCCGAAGCGTGGTTGATTGCACGATCAGCTGCGATGAATAGTCCGCCAGCTAGATGGTCCGGCAGTCCGGCAGTCGGCAGTCCGGCAGTCGGCAGCACCGCAGCAAATAGAGCAATCCAAACGCCTAATAGACCTTCGAAGGAAGATCACAGATGAAACTGATCATTTTCATCATCAACTATGAAAAATTTAGCGGCAAAATTTTGACGCGGACCCAAAGGGACCGGACCTCTGTACAGCTGGGCAACGCGCACCAGAGTCTTCGCTCAACCCTAGTCTTTTGCTGGCTCCACTGCTCGAATTTCTAATAATGCGCTATAGGCAGCATTTTAAGCACAGCCTGTGATCTGCAAGGCGTGAGAACCAGAAGTCTGCAATGAGCACTTAAAGGCAAGACAGAGGACAAAATGTGAACGAAAGCCTCGGTCTTTGCTTTATCTCATAATGTAAGTCCGAGAAGAAGCGCCACGATAGTGATATGACCGGTGATATGAGCTGTGATATGAAGATGCTCATACTTCACTGGAAGCTGAGCTAAAAGCTGGTTGATGCGAGGATAGGGATGGACTTCGGAGCAACGCGCCCGTTGCTCTTGGTTTTTCTGTTAGTGCACGCGCAAATCCATTGAGCCACCATTCAGTGTCATTTTCCCAGGAAAACATCAAAGATTAAGCGACAAAGCTCCCTTCAAGCTCCGCTCTGTGTTAGAGGTAGCGAAGATATGTTGTTCGTGTGTTGGAGGTGCCGGACAAGACTCGGGGACAATCCGGAAACCAACTCCGAATAACGTCGAACCAATTATGGCCAAAGAGATCGACATTGTAAAGCTTCTCCGCCCCTATGAGCTCAGGCAAAATCCATCTCCGACTCAAGCCTATCAATAGCGCAACGCACAATGCAGCGGGAAATCGAGCCACGTGTTGGAACCGTTCAAGGGGACCACGACCCAAGCGCACCCCAAATCACAAGACAATCGCTTTCTATTCCTCTTTGACGTCAATGAAGAGTCATGTCAAAGAAAAAAAATGAGATTGGGTGGCTTAATTTTGGGCTCTTGGGTCAAGCGTCAAGTCGGGCGTTCCGCCGCTACGGGTTCATGTGACCATTGTTGTGATTGTTGTGAATCTAGTCCACCGAGAGATAATCAAGCCGTCTCGGCGCGAGCTACGGACGACAAAAAAGTGTTTCAATGATGCCTGCCTGTTGTGTCCGGAGAACATGCGCCAGCCTATCGGCTGGCACAGGTCGTGCATACATGTTTTCTTTTCTTGCAGGCTGACTCTATAAATCTGCCGTTTAGGGTTCGGAACTAGTTTCTCACCAGAATTCAATTATTTTCGTTGTTTTTCTTTTCGTTGGCTTTCGGGTAGCAAATAATTCATTATCTATCAAGTCAATTGATTCAATCCGTATGATGACCGGAAATCAGCGACTGCTATTGTATGATTACGCCATAGATCGATGTTTATAGTTTGCCTCAGGCGAAATTATCATGTGACCAGAATAATTCACGTGACCGTGGTATCTCCCCTCTGCAAAAGGCTATCTCTTGCAAGAACTCATGGACGCATTCTGGAAGCTAAATTAACTAATTACAGCGAAATGCAAGCATAACATAATACAGAAATGTCTTTGCGCGGGCCCATGCGGCGGTCGCACCTGAGGCAAGTGAGCGCGGCGAGCTTGGAAAGCAGCTCCACCCACTCACTGGAGGCTTCGAACCGTGACCATGACCACGACCAAGCCATAGATGATCGGACTGTCAGGCTTTCATCGGCAAGCTGGACGCGACACCAATGTGCGCTTTGGGTGCACGATGAGACGTTTTCGCGTGAAGAGATTTTGTTGAATCCATCGGCTTTCGGCGAAACTGAAGTGCAAGTTGGCGATCTCGTCGAGATCCTACCCATACGGGGCTCTGGCGATAATGGTTATTCTACACTTAAGCCAGAGGCAGCTTCGAAAGCTGCTCGTGAGGGTCATGCCGAACTCAACTCGGCGGCTCAAACGGACAGCACCTCGAAGTTCAAGACTCCACTGCAGAGCCGTTGTTTATTCGTCGTGAAGGCCTTACCGCCAGAAACCAAGGCTCGGAATCCTCAATTGGAGATCTCAGTGACCAACAATATTGCCAACATCTTTGGTTTCAAGAATAGAACTCAAGTTACATTGGCGATTGTGGATCGAGACCAATGTGCAGCGTCTCATGTCGATATTGCCTTTCGCGATCAATACATGGTCCGATCGGACATGTGGAGACTAGTCATGTCGGAGTTATCAGATAAAATCATGTATAAAGGACAAAAGATCATGTTTATGGGAAGCATCAAAGCCACTGTCAAGAACATCTTTATCCGAGAGAAGAAATGCCTTTCGGGATATTTTTCGCCACATACAATCCCTATTTTCCGAAGCGAGTCCGCCAAATATGTCCTATTCATCCAAATGTCGAAAGAAATGTGGGACTTTGACTCGGAGGGCACTGGGGACATCCTCTTCAGTCGGGTTATCAATGGTTTCCTACCGGAGCTCTTCAAGCGATGGGCTAATTCGGACGCCAAACATTTGGTAACTATTGTGCTATTCACTCGAGTCGAATATGATAAACCCAACACTCCAGGTCAGCCTAAACTCAGCGCTGGAAACTTGAACAGCAAATTTGGACCAAACAAAGTTCCAACTCGAGATTTCTACCGTGTGGTAGTAAATGATATGGCAAGCGGCCATTGGACGACCATCCTAGACGAGCTGAAAAGGGAATTCAGGACCTTCTTACGAGATGTGTCAATTCTAAAACCGGACGACGTTGATCCTGTATCTGGTATCAAGAACTCCAAGCCAAACATGGCGACCATTGCCGGACACCCAAGTTCAGCTCTACGAGGAAATATTTTAGAGGCCATTCATCTCGCTTCTGCTCATCTGGCTTTTGATCATATCGATCGCGACATGGTCCATACTGGCACCTCGATCATTGTTATCACACCCGGTAGTGGCGTTTTTGAGGTCTCCTACGAGTCCTTGGCTTCTACAACAGAAGCCCTTGCGAACCGAGGCATAGCAATTGACTTAGTCTGTTTGAGTCCGATGCCTCTCCATTCTGTGCCACTTTTCAAATACCGGGAGCCAGTGGAGCAACCTTCTGGGGATTCAGGGGGAGCTAGATCCAGTGAAGTGAACAGGGATAGGATGTCTTCTGAGATACACCATTCCCTTTCAAGCGTTGTCAGCAGAACGTCATATCTTTCTCCAAGTTCATACCTGTCTGCAACTAGAATGAGGGAGCGGGCAACACCTCAAGCCAAGGAATGGAGCTTTGGCATCCCTCATTGGCTTGATATCTCCTATTGGAACCCTGAAACGTACCGAGAGTCCCGGCGAATCTTGAAAAAAGACCCAAATGCGCCAATCTCTCTTACCGTCACTCGTCCATCAAAGGCATTCACGCCACGAGTGCGTATGTATGAGATCCAAATGATGGGAGTTATGGAAAGCGAACAAGCAAACATCACAATCCCCTACCTTACTGAAGGGCGCGGTGGAACAAGACCTCGTGGATCTTGGCCCGGCTACAATTCAGGTAGTCGCGCTCCCCCTAAAACACGTTTCACGAACCCTTCATCTTTCAAGGGACAAGGACAACTTAGTGATAGCCTTCGCCGGGGGTCCTTTGTTCAAAACGTGGCAGACCAAAATGAATCGCAGACTCGAGATACGCGGAGTTCACGAAAGGCAGTGATGTCTTGGATGGATCAATACGATGAAACCCTTTTCTCTGTCTCTCCAAATCCGCACCAGGGTACTAAAGCGCCCAAGGCAAAGCGACCCAGTGAAGCGGAAGTCCAGGCTGCTGGGGGTGGAGTGCATGAACGGTTATCTGCCCGTTCTATCACCCGCCTTCGCCATCATGAAACGAATCCAGCAGACGAGAATGATTCTTTGCACTCTGGTCCTCGAAGAATTGAGTCGAATATGACTACACCAAAAAGCC